AATTCCATTCATTGTAATTAACAGCATGAAGTGCATAAAACATTACATTACATCAAGGTTTCCTGTAGGGGTTTGTGAGTTTAATGAAAAGCTAATAATTAATTAAACTATAAAAATATACAATTATAATACATAATTTTAAAATATCATCAATCAAAATAAAACACTTTATATATATATATATTGTTTGTGCACCTGCATGTCACATGCTGTGAACATATAAATGTTATTATTAAAATATTTATTTTAAAATCTCAGAGGTACTTCAAGTAAATAGATTAGGTGAAAGAGGTTCAGATGACAAAAAAGGTCTGGGAATACTTGCATCACATGTATATAAGAAATAACATGAATTTGTGCATTTTAATGTGTTTGAAAGAAAACAACGCCTCCCAATGACAATGTTAATCAGTAGTTGATGCAATGCAATGTTGAAGCACTTCTTAAACCTGTAATGATTTTTGTAAATCCAGTGGTCAAACACGAGTTTACAGTCGATTGTGGAGGGGCAGGGTTTAAGGAGATGAAATGATTGGAAAAGTACGGCATACATCCTGTACGTTTTGTTTAAAAATTTGACTATTTAAGCAATTTGGTTAAAATAGAATATTGCTAAAATTAGATGATGAATGATAATCATCAAGGAGTATTTGTGGTGGGGTTGCTTTCAAAGCGTTGTCAAAGGCCCATGTAGATAACCTAGTGTGTATTCCTGCCCTGCAAATAGTGGCAGTAAATTTAGTGAAAAATCTTCAAGAATTCAACCTTTAACAAGATCCACAACTAAACTGCTTAAATGTGACTGGATTTTCTTGAAGTTACAGTATATTGCATAGTGTCTTAGATTCTAACTTTTTTAATCACTGGGTGCTTGCAACCCTATGATTTTGGGATAAATAATGACCTCATCTATCATACTTTCATAACGCTGTCTTGAAACACTCAGTAAGATTAATACGGTCCTCTGTACCATTATTGGTTGGCCGGAAATATGATGCATAAGCATAGAAAGTTTACTAATAATGCTTACCTCTTGTGAGCGTTGTTTGCTACTTAAATGTTGGACTTTCATTTATTCTGTCTGAAAGTATACCTATCCCAAATGTCTCTCCATGTGTCCATGGATTGAAATCGATGACAGGCCAAATCCTGCACAAAAATGATGACTACCTGAGACTAAAAGAGTTGTCTTTTAAAAGATGAAGAAACATTGGCCTTACGTGCCATGCCAAGATAACATCTAAGCATAAAATCACACAGAAAGTAATGCCAGACTGAAAAGAATGTTCATAAGAAGTATAAGGACATGGAAAAAAACATATTCACCAGCAAGTTACCTCTTGTAAAGTTCAAAACTTGCCCCATCCGTTTCACTGCTATGGCTTTTCTGTTGCTTGTGGTCTGTCTCCATTTAGCTGCGAGAAACAAGAGAAAGCCATTAAAGTGGCATATTTTGTCTGCCCTGGGATAGAGCTGCTTTCCTGCAGGACAAAGTGCTGGGTATACAGTAAGCAATGCTGAGGGTTCAGGCAGGACCACAAAGTATGCGAGGGGAAGCGAGCGGAGCCGTTATCAGAGATAGCAAGCTCGTGTTGGGCTGCTTTGCGGTGGTTGTCAGGAAGGAGGTTGGAGAGAAGACATATGTTGAGGTCATCACCGTTTTACTTGAGTGCACATGATGCCGTAACAATTAAACATTTATTACCT